CCGATCGAAAGGATCGATGACGTTGCTTTCAACTACGTTTGATTGACGCGTTCCCATTTGCCATCCAGCTGGCCGGGTTATTTCATATTCTACTTTCGTTCGAATTCCCATGAATGCGACCAAAGCGAGAAAAGAGAAAATATGCGATACCAACTAGAAAATTTCACTTCGTTTCCCATACGTTTCGTACCGTTGTCGGGATGGAATTAACCTGTTCGTTAGTGGATTCTTGCGATTATTTTGCGCATCTCCGATTATTCGAAATAACGGTGAATTCCAATTAAACTGTCTGTAGGGGGGGATATTAATGGTCTGGAAACGGGGGCGATACGCCGAGGTTCAATTCTGAAGTGAATTCACAGTTAATCACGAAGCAGCAGTTAATTTGTCTTGGATGTTGTCCCTGTTTGGTAGTTGGATGTAGCCGGATGGGTGGTTGTTCCGAAGCCGGACGGGTGTGCAAGGTTTCCAACTCCCTCGAACTGTCGTGCAAGGGGGATAATTAGGTATTCGGTGGGTCGCGCGATTTCGAGAAGACGTTCTCTTCCTCGATCGGCGGTGAACGAGTCTCCGGGCACCGGCGTGTGGCGTCGCCGGCGACGTGGACGTCGACGATCATGAAAAGTCTGTGTGTGAGATATTGATTCGGTCGTCCCTCTTTTTCTGCGGCAGTCACGTGAAAGAAGTGGACGAAGCTCGAAGCCGCATTCGTGCACGTATATCGATTCGACCGAGAGAGAAAGAGAGAGAGAGAGAGAGAGAGAGAGAAAGAGAGAAAGAGAGGCGAACGAAGTCTTTCGAGAATACGCGAAAAACTAGTCACGAGGGAGAGATACACGGTGTGCCATGCGAATACGTGGCCGATGCTCCCTCTATCCACTCCTCTGCTCTTCACTTTGTCTCAGCTTGCCGGCTGCAACGGTCATTCATAAAGTCGATTATTATATCTTAATAATCGGCTGCCCGTTGATTCATTGATTACCGCGGTTGGCCGACGGATTAAGAGGTCGCGTCTCTGTTGACCCTTCAATTCTCTCTAGCTTCGATTCATGCCGCATGGGAAACTTTTACCAACGTTTATGTACATCTGTTGTGTTTCGAATTTCTCTCTTTTGATTTTGTTACAAATTACAAATTTGCTCGTCGCGCTCCATTGATCGAGTCGAAAGATTTGGTCAGATGTAGACAACAATTTTGAACATGGAGGAAATTTTAATTGCGAAAGGGTTTTCCGTCGATGAAATTTGTCACGTGGAAAATTTTACGTCAACTTCTATACGTCTGTTTGTACGAGACAAAAGAAAATCTTTCTTTTCTTTAATTTCATTGCAAATTGTAAATTTGCTCACCACGCTCCATTAATTTTACAAAAAGATTCGGTCAGATGCAGAAAACAGTTTTGAACATGGAGAAAATTTTAATTGCAATGGATTTTCAGTCGAAAAAATTTGTCACGTGGAAAATTTTACGTCAACTTCTATACGTCTGTTTGTACGAGATAAAAGAAAATCTTTCTTTTCTTTAATTTCATTACAAATTGTAAATTTGCTCACCACGCTCCATTAATTTCATAAAATGATTCGGTCAGATGCAGGGAACAGTTTTGAACATCGAGAAATATTTAATTGAAATGGATCACCGATCGAAGGGAGATCAATCCCGCGGAGAGTAACCGATTTGCAGTTTGTAAATAACGTTTAGATAAATGAAATTACCGATGCGAAAAGAGGAGAGCCACGTGCGTAATATCGCGGCAGTTGAATACCGAATATTAAATTTCCACGGGAATGCAAGTTTTGCCTTGCTCGGTCCCCGTTATCGGCTATCTTTTAAAACGATAAAGTTCAATTATCGAACTTTATCGCAGAAGTTTCTCGGTAAAAAGTTCTCGAACAGGTATTGTTATCTTTCTCTGTCTCTCTCTCTCTCTCTCTCTCTCTCGTTATAATAAATTCATTTCGTTTCAATTTACCTTAATAAACATGTCTCGTTCGTTCGTTAACGATTCCACCGACGTTCGTTGGTGATTTCTCCGCTGCCGAATCCCTTTTTATTAGTTTGCCCGTTCATAACCGAAGAACGGATAGCTAGTAGCCTGAAAATGAAATGAAACAAAACGGCAAAGAGAAAGCGAGATAGACAAAAAGAGAGATAGAGAGAAAGGGACAAAGTGAACGTCGTGCGCGCGTTCACGTCTGCTCGCGATAATTGTGCGATTTCAAACTTCCGCTTGGAATTACAACTTGGAACAACGTTTCGTTAGACTAGGCCAACTTTATTATTATTCGTCGTTTAGCGCATTGTGCCGTACGTTGTGATTAATAATTAGAGAGAGAGAGAGAAAGAAAAAGAGAAAGAAATGGGGTCTAGGGGAAAACGAACGGAAAGGATTACATTTATTTTACATGATCTTTACGGCCTGATAGTGATTTTTATTAGTAGCCAAGTTCTCGTATCGAGCACGAGCGTCAGAGTGGACGTATCGGATCGTTTCGAATGATTTTCACCGCGGCCGCGGGAAATCCCCCTCGCGGAGACAAACGGTTCGAACGAGAACGTTTCTCTTCCGGACATTTTCTAGCGCGTGTTGAACGCGCGCATACGCCCCCATAACTCTTGCCGGGGTAACATGAGAAACGAGTGGAGCGCCTCCGGGGCCCACGCTTTTCGTAAGCGGCTTACTTGCACGACGGAAAATTGTACTGTGCTACTGTCTCTCTCTTTTTCTCTCTCCCCCCCCCCCCCTTGACCGTTTCTTTTTCTTTACCTTGACTGTCTTTGCGCTCGTACGTAAAGCGGATACTGGGATCGCGTACACTCGCGTCCAGTCGTGAAATCGAAGCTGAAACTCATGTCGTTGGTTTATCGTGTGACAGAAAGTGATGACAAAAAAGAAAATTGAAAAGAACGAGACAATGTTTCCTCATTTCTAAATGAACAATCTCTGTCCCGTTTATAAGAGAATAATTTTTAAATAGTTGATCGACATTTCCTTGCTTCTTTGTTATTTATTTCAAGTCAACGTGTCTTGGGAAAATGTAGATTTAGGATTTGTCTGAAATTACTGTTACTCGGTCCTCGAAACGTGTAAAGGTTTAATGCCTCGTTCTATATCTCTCCTACCAACGATACGCTTGCATCAATGGGAGCCGCCATTTAGCACTTTAATTTACGATCTTGCTGTATCGGTTCTACCGACTGTATGTACGCGAGCTCACGTACCATGTTGTTAGTTAGTAGTAGCGTTTGCTCGTCGATCGGCAATCACATTTCTTCCCAAATATCGATAAAAATCGTACAAATTCGTGCGGATAAAGCAATTAATAACGATCGTCTGACGACTGAATTATATCTGTTTGTAATATTTACAAATGTTGAGTGTAACATTCGTCGTTGTTCCTTTTAATCGATCGGATAATCTCTCTTTATGTTGCTTTCGAAATATTCCACGAGGTATTGTACGCGATAAGAGTTACGCGCTCGAGACGATAACGTTCGTTTCGCAATTCGATTATTATTTTTATAGTCGCGCGAATTCGTGGGAACTGTATAATTCTGACGTGTGTATAATGCCGACTACTGTGTTGGCGAAACGTAGCTTGCATTGGGGAAAGATGCAAGTCGTCGACTGGCAAAACAAATTTTTCCATCGTGGCTATCTTATCTAATCAGCTCTCGTTTTTTCTCGTTTCTCTCGCGCGAAACAGATACATAACACGCTCTTGAAAAGCCAACGCTAAGAAAAGTACGCTAGGTTCGATCAGATTGATTTTGACGGTAACTGCGTGTTCATACAGTTGGTTATACGTCCATAGTTTTAAATGTACATACAGAGAACAGACGTGTGAAACTGTTTGAAAATCGCTTCTGTCCGCTACATTCTGTAATACGCGTTCGTTTGAACCAAGGACCGCGCGTCCTCGACGCCTTTACTTACTCGATTAAGCGTGCTTGCATTGGTAGTCCTGCGCTTTTTCTACTTTACCTTTGCCCTTGTTCGCGGCCTCTGCTTTGTCATCCATTTACACTTGGCCCCCCCCTCCCCCCCCTACGCCTACATACACACGTTCATACAAACATACATACGCATACACATATACATTCTTTGTCTATCAATCTATCAAACTGTCAATCTATGTATCTATCTGTCTTTCTTTCTTTCTTTCATTCACTCCGAAAGCTAAAGCCTTTCAATCGAGTCTGGTCATCACCCTTTCCACAACCACCACTACCGCCCCGCCCAGCCCAGCCCCCCCCC